GGAGAAGGGCGGGGGGGGGGGGGGGAAGCGGGAAGGAGGGTTGTTGGGGAGGCGGGTGGTCTCACCTCACGGGCGATCTGGTTGAGGGCATCATCCTCCGCCGTCAGGCGCTCCCGGTTAGGCAACCGCTTTCTCCCGGCCCCTTGAGTCCCCATGGCGGACCACGCTCCTTCCACCAGCCCCGGCCGCCCTCCTCCCGCCGCCACCGCCGCCGCCTCTCCCCGCTCGCCGGCGTGAAGAGCGGGGCCGTCACCGCCCCCCGCCCCGCGCATGCGCCGCCCCGGCTGTGAGGGGACGGGCCGCGCGCTGCCTCACAGCCCCTCAGCGATCTCCCCCCGCACCCGTGAAAGCGGGATGCGGGGCTGTGCGTGTGTGTGCGGGGGGGACACGGCTTCATCCCCCCGCCTTCTCCCGCTCCCCTCAATCCCCCTTCCACCTCTACGGCTCCCTCAGGCGTGGGCGGCCCCGCTGGGGACCCCGCGGCGCCCCTGGCCGGGCTTCTCCCCGTGACCTTCCCTCCCCAGGCCTCGCGTCGGCGAAGCTGAGGAAAAATTCCCTGAAATGGGGGAAATGAGCTGCATTTAATCTTTGCGACTTAATTTTACCATCGATTCCAACTTGGTAAAGGTAAAAGGCAACGCTCTGGTCAGACCAGTGTTTACCTGGTGGTTTTCATGTACGAAAATCAAGATTTGGGTCATCCTTGAATTCAAAATCATCCCTTCTTCCCATGAGGGCATGTATCAGAGCAGACAGGAAGGACACTGAAGTGCTGGAGCGTGTCCAGAGGAGAGCCACCAAGCTGGTGAGGGGTCTGGAGAACAAGTCATACGAGGAGAGGCTGAAGGAACTGGACACATTTTCACAGAAAGAGTGGGTCAGACACTGGAATAGGCTGCCCAGGGTGGTTGAGTCGCCGTCCCTGAATGTGTTGAAGAGCCGTTTAGATGTGGTGTTGGGGGATATGGTGTAGGGGAGAACTTTGTAGAGTAGGATAGATGACCCCAAGGGTCTTTTCCAACCCAAATTATTCTATGATTCTATGTTGAGTTTGGAGAAGAGCATGCTGAGGGGAGACCTCATTGCCTTCTCCAACTCCCTGAAAGGAGGGCGTAGAGAGGTGGGTGCTCACCTCTTCTCCCAAGGGAATAATGACAGGAGCAGAGAAAATGGTCTGAAGTTGGGGCAGGGGAGGTTTAGATTAGATATCAGTAAGAATGACTTTCCTGAGAGGGTGGTCAGGCCCTGGAAGGGCCTGCCCAGGGAGGTGGTGGAGTCACCATCCCTGGAGGTGTTTAAGAAACATGTAGACGTGGCACTTCAGGGCATGCTCTAGTGCCCAAGATTGTTGGGTTTGGACTCAATGATCTCAAAGATCCCTTCCAACCATGAAGATTCTGTGATTCTGTGATAAAGCACCTGGTGGCTCTATTTGAAAAAGAAAAAAGACATCCCACTTTTAGCAAAATCCCTTTCCCCAAGAGGGTATAGATGACCTCAATCCATCCCAGGCTGGTACTTGTTCTTGGGAAACTATTTAATTCTCACTTGTTGCTTTTTTATACCAGTGACATCAAGGTGCCTATTTATAGCTGGTGCCCATGCTGAAGTGATGGTCTCCGCATCGTTGCCACGGTGCTCGCCAGCACCCAGCACCACAGATGGAAATGCAGAGACCTCAGAGATGCAGCCTTTGACATTAGAGGAGATGAGTGACTGAGAGCTCCTAACGAATTCCTCCTGATCAGGGACCCAGACAGTTGACCCAAGCTGGCCAACAGGATTATTGCATACCATGAATGTCACATTCAATATAAATTAGAAAGTTTGCTGAGAAGTTCTCTCTCTTCTGAGAAAAAAGAATTCTGAGCACTTCTGAGGAGAAGCAACTGGGGGTCCTGGTGGATAGTAAACTCTCCATGAGCCAGCAATGTGCCCCTGTGGCCAAGAGGCCAATGGAACCCTGGGCTGCGTAGGGAAGAGTGTGGCCAGGAGGTGGAGAGAGGTCATTCTCCCCCTCTGCTCTGCACTGGGGAGGCCACAACTGGAATCCTGCCTCCAGTTCTGGGCTCCCCAGTTCAAGAGAGACAGGGAACTGGTGGAGAGAGTCCAGCGTAGGGCAACAAAGAGGATGGAGGGATTGGAGCATCTCCCTGATGAGGAAAGGCTGAGAGAGCTGGGGCTCTTTAGCCTGGAGAAGAGAAGGCTGAGGGGAGACCTTCTCAATGCTTCCAAGTATCTAAAGGGTGGGTTGAGGGAGGATGGAGCTGGACTCTTTCCAGTGGTTCCCAGTGACAGGACGAGGGACAACGGGCACAAGCTGGACCATGGGAAGTTCCACTCCAATGTGAGGAAGAAGTTCTTTGGGGTGAGGGTGGCAGAGCCCTGGCAGAGGCTGCCCAGGGAGGGTGTGGAGTCCCCTTCTCTGGAGATCT